AAAACATGGTATGCCAGGGACGAAATTGTAAAGCACAATTATAATGAAGCACGGCCTAATTTGGGATGACCCTGCGATTTGGAGCTATAGGCAAAGTACTTTTCTACTATATTACTGGTGTTTTTGAATGAGTATGATATAATCGAGAACAAGTAATTCAATATATAGACAGCTATACGGAGTCTAAGAAGACGTCACACGAGTGAGAAATTCCGTGCTAAATTTTGAAAGAAATATTTTGTGCAAAAAATGTAGAGAAGATTACGCTTTTGCAGCTGACTTCTACAATACGGGGCTAATCGACTGATTGTGAAACTCCATGTTGCTTGTTAATAATAATAGTTTATATCGAGATGCGATTGTATCGAATTTAAGCAGAATGCATATACAGGTAATGTGATGCGTAATACAATTTATGAAAAAATGATTTAAAAGTATTTGTTTTTTGTTCATGAATATCATCTGATGATGTCACTTTGTCTGGGATCGAGATGATAAACATACAGTCTGAGAATGCGTTGATACTTTCACAAGCATAATCACAACTCTTCGCATGCTTTTATTAAGAAACAGGACACATCAAAACACATCAACTTCGGCGATACCGAGGTGGCAGAAAAATGTAATCAAAAAAATAAATACTTCAAAAAACAAAACTTGTCATTAGTGCATTGATTCAAAATACTTACTACAGGTAATTTCTATTTCGTTTAGACAAGTAAAGGCAATCATTTTGATAAACTTAAATATACATGAAATATACAAATTTGTGTTCACTGATAATGGTATTCCACAATTAAATAATTATCTCTTGAGGGGTCGATGTATTATATGATTTCAGGGCAAAACGTGTTTCTGTATATTTTGAAGTATCTTTAAACTGTCATGTGAGCAATACATAATTGAAAGCCCTTTAAATTGTGATTAGCTTGGCTAAGAATCAAATCTTTGGTTGAACTTGTGACCTCTATTTGACGCCGTGACCACGATTTGACCTCGTAACCTCCATTCGTTCTCTGAGGGCGCCCCTTGTTTTTTTAAAAGTCCCATGTGAGGTCATTTCTGGTCTAATTTGACTCCGGTTTTCTATTGCGGCTTCTATTGTTCTCTGAGCGGCCATATTGTTCTGTATTTGACCCCGTGACCTCTACTTGACCTAAGGGGTGTCACGTGACGTCATCTGACGTCATCTGACCTATGATCGGAAGCTGACGCTGGTAATCGACTGCGTTATGTGTTCACTTCACCACAGTACATTCAGTTGGAAACAAGAGAACTGGCGATGGTTGTAGAACCATAACTGCCTCAGCTCAAAGACTGTTATGTAATATAATGGATGTAAAGGGAAATGTATTGTAGTGTTACCTCTGTGTAATTTACAATATATCTGCATTACCCTTTACTGTTAAGGACAATGTGGAGTTCACTTAAATGACTGGTAGAAGCAAGGCTGGGCAAATTTTGCAAAAAAAGTAGTTAGTTAGAATTACCAGGCACGCAATCGACACATTGATATCGAAATATGGATGATAAACGGCAAATGATATTTCTAGAGATATAGTTGGAATTGAAGCAAGGGAGTGGCCTATTATCCCATGAAACATACTCGTGCATATCCGTACATATCACCCTGTCTTAATGTGTGTATGTGGGGGGGGGGACATGTACACAATCATAATAACTGGAAATGGTTTCAGAACGGAAAACTGCTTTATTACTGTAAATAATTATGAAAAATAAAACCTGAAATTTAGAAAAACTATGGACAATAAATAAATAATGAAAATCTGTGATTTGCTGTACAGTTTCTAGAAAATTATTACAAGTCTCAGAAGTATTTGGACAGTCAATTTGCAAGCTCGCTAGCGAATTGGCAAACTGCTC